GGGGGGGTTAATCCCCGGAGGACCCAGCCATTATTCATCCCCTCGGCACTAAAAGGCTTTTATAGCCGTGCTCCAGAGGTGCTGATGGAAACCAGCCAGGCCTTTGGGGTGAGAGGGCGGGAGGGGGGGCCACGCCTGCTGTTCTTTGTTCTCCCGGCCCGGCGCAATGGCCTGGCAAACCCGCTCTGCAGACAAGGGTCTGGATGGCCTGCAAATCCCTGTGGCACACAAGCAAGATTGGCACCCGACAGGTTAACTGCTGGGCGCTTCCCATCCCCACCGGCTCCATCCAGAGGTGGCTAACCAGCCAGCCCTGCTGTAGGTGCCCGTGACGCGCCTCCTCCCCCGGACAGTAACTTGTTTCTCTTCCTCTTGTCCAAACTAGGAAGCCGATTGCCAGCTCCGCCAATCCCCACTCGTCAGCGCGGATGAGTAACTCCCTATCAGACTCAGATCCTGGGTAGGGCAGCCCTGGGCTCCAGGTGACGAGAGCGGGGGCAGAACACTCATCTCAGATAACCCGTCTGACCCGTGCCCCCGACCCACATCAGCCTGTAGACCCCCTCGAAATACACCAGGCACAGTACCCCCCCGGGGACCGCCACGCCTTCTGCCCGACCGAGTGGGGACCAGACCCCAGCACATACGAAGAACAATGCCAGCCTGCCCCGAATGGCTGCCTGGAGCACCCTCCCTTCTGCCGGAGCGCTCGGGGGGCAAACGGGCATCAAGGCTGCCGCCCGCAGGGTATCACCAGCTCACCGGTCAAAGGTTTCTCTCGCTGCTTTGCTTTCTCCCTCCCGGGCCGGAGCTATGAAGCAAGTGGCCATAGGGCAGTGGGGTGGGTTCTGATTGGCCTAGAGCAGTGGTTCCCAAACTTTTCAGCATCACGCCCCCTTTCTGATTTTTGAGAAACCCTCACGCCCCCCCCACCGCAAAAATATCAGCAAAACTTCCCCCCCCCAATAGCAGCAAAACTCATTGAGCGAAAAAAAACCAACTTACCAAGGCCGAAAAACAAAAATAGCAGCAAAACTTAGGGGGGAGGTGCCTGGGTCCCCTCAGACACCCTGGAGTTTCTTCACACACCCCATTTTGGGAGCCCATGGCCTAGAGGCTAGGGCATTGGCCACCGCAAAAATATCAGCAAAACTTCCCCCCCCCAATAGCAGCAAAACTCATTGAGCGAAAAAAAACCAACTTACCAAGGCCGAAAAACAAAAATAGCA